ATGGGATGTGATGTTTGGGATATGATAGCAAAATTTTAAAGACTTCAGTAGTCAAGCAAAAGAATATCAAAATACCAATGGTGATTATAAATGATTTTTATTTTCTTTATACTTTTAGTTTGTATGTTTTTGGTACTTTTAATAACTTAAATGTAGAAAACACTAATTATTTTAACAAAGATAAGATAGCTGTTCTTAACACATTCAACTTAGTGGCTCTGGTTCTATGAATTTGGCTTCATACACATTTTAAGTTTTATTTATGTCTGTTTCCACTTAACTACTGTGTACCTAGGTACAGTCAGTTCTCATTATTTATGGGTTCTGTATTTGCAAACCACCTACTTGCTGTAAGTTATTTGTAAACCCAAAATCAATACTTGGAGCTTTTTGGTCAGTCATTTCAGGACATGTACAGAGCAGCAGAAAATTTGAACTGCCTAATGAGCACATTTCTAGTTAAGGTACAAGATGGCACTGTGCCTTCTTATTTCATCTCTGACACAGCAAACAAATGTCCTTTTTGTGGTCTATTTTGTGCCACGTTTCCCATTTTTGTGCTTTTTGTTAGTGACCTTGCTGTTTAAAATGGCCCCTAAGCATAGTCCTGAAGTGCTATGTAGTGTTCCTAAGTGCAGGAAGGCTGTGCTGTGCCTTAGGGAGAACATATGTGTGGTAGAAAAGCTTAATTTTAGTGCTGTTGGATGTAAGTTCAGTGTTTGTCAATCAACGTATATTAAATGAGGTGCCTTTAAACAGAAACACACATAGAACCGGCAAGGGCGGGAAACCTGCAGCCGTCAGGTCATATGTGGCCTTCTAGGTCCTTAAGTGCAGCCTTTGACTGAATCCAAATTTTATGGAACAAATTCTTTCATTAAAAGGGTGCAGCAGAGAAAGATGAAGCTTTTCTTACCTCCTTTGGTGCTTAAAAAAGAATAATCTTGAAATCAGAAAGGCCGCAGGTTCCCCATCCCTGGATGGCACTGATTGAGTATTCAGTGTTTTAGGTGACTTTGTAGAACATAACTACTGCAAACAGAATTGACTGTACTTATCACTTTGGTACATTATAATAATCACATATTTAGTGAATAAATGGATGAATAATCTATTGTATTCCTAGTAGAAACAGCCATTAGAAGACAGGTTGGTTGTGACAAATCCATTTGATAGATACTCCATCCAGGTAGGGGCTTTCTCCTGTTTGGTTTCCTATCCCTACTGCCTAGAATAAGCCACAGCCCATGGTAGATTCTCAATAAATATTGTTCATTATTGAATGTATTTGGCAGAATATAAATATCAAGTTTTTGGGAATATTTATGAATAAGCAAAATGCTTACACATTTTGATTGCACAGTATAAAATTATATAAATAGAAATTGTCTATATGAAGAGAAGAAAGCCGGAAGGAAACCTATTAGATTGTTAATAGTGGTTGGCTGTCTTTAGATGTTGAGCTGATCGGTGATTTTTTATTTTTGGTGATTTTTTATTTTCATTGTTAAATTTTTGTGGTATATTTTCTAAAGGCAGTATACTGACTTTCTAAAGTGAGTATATTCCTTATATTAGAAACTGTATTAAATATGTCTTCCAAAAGATGTAGAGATTAACTTTAGCAACAATGATTATAATTAATGCTAAATTAAACTAGTTTGCTGGTTTAGAAGCCGTAAAGTATGAGTTTGCTTAATTTAGCAATATGTGGAGAATTACAGTATTGAGGAATTGCTGTGTTTTAATATTTTAACCATTTATTCTTTTAAAAATGTCTTTTAAAGGATCAAGAATTGGTCAAAATAGTTGGAATACGATATGAGGTTGGGCCCCCTACGCTCTGTTGCCTCAAATTAGCATTTATAGATCCAGCGACTGGAAAACTTATGGATAAATCTTTCTCTATCAGGTATGTATTATTTTTTTAGATGGAATTTTTTTTAAATTTACATTTTCCATCTTGCTGATTTAATGATTGGCATGGCCTTCCCATTTAGCTGCAGGGTAACTAGTAGAGCACTGTGGGCAGCCTAAGGGTGTGGGTTGAGTTTCTAATGGATGAGAACCCCCCAGAAGTAAGAATAGGTGTGTCACAGCAGCAGTTAGGCATGGGCAGTCTGTTTTATAGACTATGGCGTGCCACTTCCATGGGTGGAGAATTCTCACTTGTAGGAAAAATTGTTTCTGCTTTTGTTTTTGAGAAAATTTTAGAATTAATAATTTGTTGCACTTTTGCTGTCTGGTATAGTAGCCACTAGCCAGATGTAGCTGTTGAGCACTTGAAATGTGGATAATTCAAATGGAGTGAGTTGTAAATGTGCAGACTGTACTTTGAAGACTTGGTATGAAGAAAAAAATATATCTCATTATTCTGTATTGATTACATATTGAAATAATATTTAGGATATATTAAGTTAAAATACACTATTGAAATATACTGGTTTCTTTTTACTCTTTAAAATATAGCTGGTTGAAAATTAAAAGTTACATATGTAATTCCTATTGTGTTTCTTTTGGATAATGTTGCTCTAGACTATAACTGCTATGTAGGGAACTTAATAATTTTTAAATTTTTGTTTAGATATCATGATATGCCAGATGTTATTGACTTTCTTGTATTGCGTCAATTTTATGATGAAGCAAGACAGAGGAATTGGCAGTCTTGTAAGTCCTTATTGAGTTTTATATAGCCTTAATCTCACATTTTATTGGTCTAAGTTTTTCGTTGTAGCACTCTTAATTATGTTGTATACAAACATGTAAATTCTGGAAAGAAATATTAAGTGACCTATAAATTGTATTTTGTTTAGGGCTTGCTACTTTACTGATTCTGTGTAGACTTTCTAGCCAAGCAACTTTTCTTCTGTTCTTATGGTTTATGATGTTTGGAAAAGATTATTTTCACTCATTGACTATAAGCTGGAGTAGACTTATTTTCTTTCAGTCTTCCCCATGCTAAATTATATATAATCATCTTTAATGTAACACTGGTATAATTTATATAATTATCCTAGGATCTAAAACAATCAGAAGGTTGATTTACCTACAGATAGGTAAATTTCAGATTTCACACTAATGATCTTCTGGTATACCAAAATATTTTACCTCTGTTACCATAATAACCTAGACTTAGAAGACTTGAGGAAACTTTTTTAAGAAATAAAAAATTCACATACACTTATCCTTTTTTATAACCATGTGATGTGTGGATGGACAGAAAATAAGAAATTACCTCAATGTAGGTACAAAATTACTTTAATGTGATTTTTGTGACCATTTAAGGTGAGCACACTTCTTTAGAGTTGTGTAGGTCATTAATCTCAGGATATAATTGAATATAATTAGGTCAGGTAGTTCTAGTTAGCAACTATAGTACCTGTTTCACAGTTATACATATGTTCAGCATGTAATGAGTGCTATCTGGGGAGCTTGTGTTGTTTGACTTTAGTCACCTAGGACAGCTCAGTTCTTGGTCTCTTACTGGAAATGTTAAGTTTTACTCAGGCTATATCATCTGGTGTACACATTCATAAATGATGTTAAGACCTCATTAATCTTCCTAGTTACTGCTGCCTTTTTCTGTGAGTACTACAAATAGGTAAATTTTAGATAAATTCTCTAATCCCATAAGGTGTAAGATAGAGGCTCTCATATTTTAACAACATGTCCATTTAAAATTTTTTTTAGAAACTTGATTAGCTAAACTTCAGAGATGAGTCCCAGTTGCCCCATGTAATTTAATGGTTTTTGTTTTATTTTTGTGGTTGAGAAATTATTGTATCAGATCTTTTATAATAAATTTTAATTCATCTTTGCTTCTCCATAAAATCTTACTTTTTGGCCTTGAATTTGAGCAGTATGGCTAGAGGAAGTTGCCTGTTTCCATTTTTTTTTTTTTTTTTTTGAGACAGAGTCTCACTATGTTGCCTGGGCTAGAGTGCTGTGGCGTCAGCCTAGCTCACAGCAACCTTAAACTCCTGGGCTTGAGCAATCCTACTGCCTCAGCCTCCTGAGTAGCTGGGACTACAGACATGCACCACCATGCCCGGCTAATTTTTCCTATATAGATTTTTAGTTGTCCAAATAATTTCTTTCTATTTTTAGTAGAGACGAGGTCTTGCTCTTGCTCAGGCTAGTCTCGAACTCCTGACTTTGAGCGATCCACCCGCCTCAGCCTCCCAGAGTGCTAGGATTACAGGCGTGAGCCTCCGCGCCCGGCCCCTGTTTCCATTTTTACAGTATATTTTCATCCTACTCTTGATAGGCCAAAGTAAATGTTAACGGATTGCCAGGTGATCAGCTAGCAAAAACCTAGACAAACCATTTTTATCATGAGAAAACTAAATTTTTAAGGCTCTTTTTTATGTAAAGTATTGGTCTTATACTGAAGAAATATTTTTATCTAAACTGAAATTATCTTCTAGTGTTAGGTAAATTGGGAAGGAAAAAAGTTAACTTTTCGTATCAAAGACTGGCTCTCTTCTAAACATGTTTTTGTATTAGGCTTCAAAACTGGAGCAGTTGATTTTTAAAATTACAATAATTTATTATGATTAAGTTCAGTTGTAATGTTTATGTAAATAAGCTTATTTGTAGTAGAGAATTGGACAAAATCATGGTGTGAATTATCTCGAATTATAATTTTCCAGCTCTAGTATTCTCTTTAGAAAGATTTCTTTCAGCAGCTGTGGTTTCTAGTGATTTTGAAGTAAAATATACATAAAGGTTAACATAAATTTGAAAATATATTAAGGCCCTCAAAACATGAAGGTCTAGTAGTTATGGCATTATTTTTTTCAAACTTTTGAAGACTGCATTGTAAGCATATTTTATCCAATCAAGACTTCACTGGTATTTTATTGTATAAATATTCTTTGAGATAAATTATAGCTTTAGTTTTGAATTGTATTATCTCTGTAAAACTGTTAATCTACACTAGAGAATCATTAATGCTGGATAGGTGACTATTTGCTTTGGTTGATTTTGGTTTGAAAATGATGGGATGGTTGGGAAGAAAGAGATACGGTTATTATAGCAGTCTGTCTTTTTTTAATACACATAAAACACAGATCAAGTGCAGTTTTTTTTTTTTTTTTTTACCAGTTGAAGTGTTAGATACAGTTGTAGAATACATTTAGGAATCCATATAACCTAAAACCACTGAAATTAGTTAAATTTTTCATTCCGTATTTTTGTTGATTTGTCTAGAAACCCTTCTAAGATTCGCTTGCCTGCTTTTGTGTTATGCCAAGATAGTGGGATATGTGGGTGTTTATTTAATTCTTTTAAATAATATATATTATTTTTGAGTGTTTAGACCTGATTTTTAATATGTGATCTTAAGAATTAGGACACTGTTTTATGTGGAGGTATTTATGTAATAACAGCTTTAAAAATAATTATAGATTAAAGTCTAATCATAGTTACTTTCATAATTTTGTTTTATTCAGGTAATGTGTATTTCATAAGTGTATGTGTTTAATATAGTTACTAGGCAAGTATATATTTATAGCACACATTGTTGTAAGTTACTTTTGGATTTTGTTAAACTTTGTTGTTTGCTTCATGTTGTAAAATGTAATACGACTTATTTTAGAACAGACTTTTGAATCCGCTAAACAAGTCTAGTTATAACCCATTTTATCCTATTTAATTATGTTGTATGGCTATATACCTTCAGTGAATTGCTGAAAGTAACATTTTTTTTTATCATTGAAGATTGAAGTGTGGAAGGATGGCTTGTTTTAAGATAAAAATATATTTTGATTTATTTTCTGTATCCCAAGTTGTAAAGCAGTTTACTTCTGTTTTATCTGTATCATGGTATTTTGTACATTAAAAAATGTAAATAAATGTTAGCAAATAGATGCCTTAGACTTGATAATTTCTCTTGTAGGTGACAGATTCCGCTCTATTATTGATGATGCTTGGTGGTTTGGAACAGTGTTAAGTCAAGAGCCATATCAACCACAGTATCCTGATAGTCATTTCCAGTGTTACATTGTTAGGTTTGTATACAGATGAAAACTAATCATCTGTAACTAATTCAGTGTGGCAGGTTGTTGTATGAATAAGTTTCAGGTTTCTAACAGACACTATTTTATCTGTCATTAAGTCATACCAGTCCGACCTCTGAAATGTCTCTCAGACATGCACCTGTTTGTTTCCTCTTCACTAGTACTCTCCTTGTTTGAGGTTCTCTCTGCTTCCCTGGGCCTATTTCTGTAGCTTCCTAATACTTCCTTTAACTGATACTGTCACCTGTGACTGTGGTGGCATTTGAGGCATTCATACTTTGTCTTCGAGGTATTCTTTACTTTGGGCACAGGCCACACAGGATTTCTGGTTTTGTTTTTAAACCTCTAATGCATTTTGGCATTTTGCATTTAATATTGTGTCCTTCTTAAAAAATGTATTGTTAATATTTAAAATTTTACTGTTGCAATGAGGTTAATTTTCACATTTTGTGTCTTTCTGTTTACTTTCATAATAGATACCTAGCTATTATCCACAATTTGTTTTTATGAAAGGCTAACCAGGGTTTTGTTGTTTTTTAACAGGTGGGATAATACTGAGATTGAAAAACTTAGCCCATGGGACATGGAACCAATTCCTGATAATGGTATATATTTGTTAAATAATGAAACTATTTTATGTTTATGTTTTTAATTTTTTATTTTGCTAGTGCACATAGAGCACATTTGTATTCTTTGATAAAAATATGCACATTATTACAGTAACTGAACTTTTACTGAAAGAAGACAATAGCATTAAGCGTACTGGTTCCGTTAATTCTTGACCTCAGATTCTAGCTTGATTCTGGCTATATCTTAGTAGCCTGCTATCCTTTCTCACGTAACTCTTACTGACCTCCTTTATGTAGCTGCCACTCCTTTTTCTCATTCTTACTCTATTATCCTTGTTGTTCCTTCAAGATCTAATTTGATTTCTCTCTTTTGCTTTACCTCATCTTGTCTTACTATGGATTGTCTGTTCTTTTCCTGTGAGAAATAGACTATGTGACAGCCACCCCTTCCTCTGGTGATTGCTACCCCTTACCTTCCGAAGGACCTGGTATTTAGCCTTAGCTCATTTTCTATAGTGATTTTAGTTTTCTCCTTCCTTTCTGCAGTCAAGTTTGAATATATCTCTTGTACATTTCATTTAGCTTTATTGAATGTTCTACCAACTGAATTATTTTCCTCTTCCTAAATTTTTTGAAAAGGTGCTGTATATCTATTTCTTGCCTCCAGTTTTTCACTACCCAGCTTTCTTTTGTCGTTAGTGTTTATTCAACTTATAAAACATAAAAACACTTGTTCTGCAACCTCACCATTTCAAGACACATGAAATTTTTCCTCCGTGAGATTTTGCTGTGTCTGCCCCAGAGGCCAAGCCCTTTTCCTTTATGTTTTATTCTCTGTCATATCTCCATCAACTATTGTATAGCTTTATTTTTGAAATAAGAATTTTTTTCAATAATGGCACTCTGGAAAGTCACCAATGACTGTTAGATTTTCTTTTGAGTGTAGTAACTTACATATGTGTTAGTATCCAGCTATATGGAAAGATGTTTTGCAATGTATAAAGTATATAATACAAAAGTAAAAGCTAACAGTTTTTTGAGGTCTCGCTCTAAGAACTTCATATGTATCAACTCATTTAATCTTACTTTGAGGTTGATGCTTTATTATGAAATTAACAGATGAAGAAACTAAGGCTAGGGGGTTTTAAGTGACTTGTCTAAAGTCATACATCTAGAAAGGATAGGAGCTTGCATTCTATCTAACTCAAGCCATCTGGCTCCAGCCAGTGCTTTTAACTGCTGTTTACAGCTACTTCACTGTAAAGGATATTACAAATCAGTGAGAACACTTTTATAAAGAGCTCTTACATGTTAATGAGACCAACAAACCTTTAGAATAATTGTCAAAAGATGTGAGCATGCAGGAAAATAGGCTCAATTGTATTAATAGTCAAGGAAATGTATATTAAAATAAAAGTAAAGTATCAATTTCACCTGTCAGATTTTAGATCAAGAAGTTTTCCTTCTATTGATGTTTTTCTCCTTTTATTTAACATTTTCAAGAAAATCTTAGTATTTGCATCGTGTCTTATTTTTTTATGAATATGTACTCTTCATTTTCAGTTTTTATTGCACTTTTAAGAATTTTATTTTGATGCTGGGTGCGGTGGCTCACACCTTTACTCCTAGCACTTTGGGAGGCCAAGGCTGGAGGACTGCTTGAGGTCAGGACTGACCTCGCTTGAGACTAGATTGAGCGAGAGTGAGAACCCCATCTCTACAAAAAATAGAAAAATTAGCTGGGCATGGTGGCATGCACCTCTAGTCCCAGCTACTTGGGAGGCAGAGGCAGAGGGATGGCTTGAGCCCAGGAATTTGAGGTTGCAGTGAGCCATGATGAAGCCAGAGTGGTGACAGTGAGACCCTGTCTCAAAAACAAACAAACAAAACTTCATTTTGAAATAATTTCAGATTTACAAAATGTTACAAATATAGTACAAAGAAATTTCCAACTATCCAGATTTCTCATCTTACACAGCTAGCATAATTCAGTTATCAAAATCAGGAAATTATCACTAATAACAGTACCATTACCTAATCTATAGGCTTTATTCAAATTCTGTCTGGTGTTTCACTAATGGCCTTTTACATTTTGGATTTAATTGCCGTGTTGTCTTAGTCTCTCTTAATTTGGGATTCCTTGGCCTTTCATTCTTTCATGACCATGACACTTTTGAAAATTGCTGGGCAGTTATGTTGTAGAATTTCCATTGGTTTGGGCTTGTTTGATGTTTCCTCTTGATTAAATCCAGGTTTTGCATTCTTGGCAAGAGTGTCAGAAAAGTGATGTGTGTCCTTCTCAGTGCATCATTTTAGGAGCCACATAATACCACTTTGTCCTGTTACTGGGTGTTAATGCTAATCATTTGATTTAGATGGTATCAGGTTTCTCCCCTATAAAACTACGTACTTTTTTCTTTATCATTTTTGTCTCATGAGGATGTATTTATATGCTGCAAATAATCCTGTTTCTCATTTTGTTTCTACTCACTAGTTTTAGCAGCTGTTAATGATTTTCATCTGAAATAATTATTAATTACTATAGTGTTTGCCAAATAATAATTTTGTTTTCCTTGTTTCTTTTACATGTATTAGTTGGAATTTTACTATAATACGCATCACCTTTTCTGTTTATATTTATTTATATTAATATGTACTCGCATTTTTGTAAAATAAGAATATCTATATTCAATTGCTTTCATTATTTGTTTCGTTGCTATATTATCACAGATTTGGCCATTGGGAGCCCCTTCAAGTTGTCTCCTATATTCTCTTGATGTTTCTTTTCATCACTTTTGCGTATTTCCTTACTTGTGTTCAAGGCTCACCTTGTGCTTTCCTCACTCTGGCTGTATAATCAGGCAGTTTTTCATGGAGCCATGGTCTGTTTTGTTGGAGAATGGTATTTAGAAACCAGGGTGTTTCTTCTTATTGATGAATAATACTTCATTGTATGGATAATACCACATTTTATCCATTTAGTAGTTGGACATTTGTTTTGTCTTTTCAAATTTAAGTTTTAATTATTGTGGGTACATAATAGTTGTATATCTTTAAGAGGGTACATGTGATGTGATGTTTAGATACAGGCATATAGTATGAATTAATCAAATCAGGGTAATTGGGCTATCTAGCACCTCAGGCATTTATCATTTCTTGGTGTTAGAAACATTTCCATTTCTACTCTTTTAGTTATTTTAAAGTATGTCCTGACTTATTGTTGATTATAGTCACTTTGTTGTGCTGTCAGATATTGTTCGTTCTATCTAACTATATTTTTGCACCCGTTAACTGTCTCCACTTTATCTTTCTCTGCCCGATTCCCTTTCCAGCCTCTGGTGACTGTCATTCTACTTACAGTCCCCATGAGATCAGTTTTTAATATTTAACTCCCACATACGAGTGAGAACATGTGAGATTTGTCAGTTTGTGCTCGGCTTATTTCACTTAACGTGATGTTCTCCAGTTCCATCTGTCATTGCAAATGGCAGGATTTCATTCATTTTTATGGCTATGTAAAAGTCCATTGTGTACATGTACCACAATTTCTTTATCGATTCATATGTTGATGGACACTTAAGTTGATTCCATGTCTTGGCTATTATGAATAGTGGTGCAATAAACATGGGAGTGCTGGTATTTTCTCAATATACTGATTTCCCCTCCTTTGGATATATACCCAGCAGAGGGATGTGCAGAAGAATGAAAACTAGACCCATATCTCTTGCTATGTACAAAAATCAAATCAAAATGGATTAAAGACTTAAATCTAAGAACTGAAACTATGAAACTACTAAAAGAAAACATTGGGGAAATGCTTCAGTTCATTGGTCTGGGCAATGATTTCTTGAGTAATACCCCAAAAGCACAGGGCAACCGAAGCAAAATTGGACAAATGGGATCACATCAAGCTAAAAACTTCTGCACAGCAAAGAAAACAAACAGTAAGGTAAAGAGACAGCTCACAAAATGGGAGAAAATATTTGCAAATTGTCTTCCTGACAAGGGATTAATAAACAGAATATATAAGGAGCTCTAACAACTCAGTAGGAAGAAAGCAAATAATCTGATTGAAAATGTGCAAAGGATCTGCATAGACATTTCTCAAAAGAAGACATAAAATTGGCCCACTAGGTATATGAAAAAATGCTTAACATCATTAATCATCAGAGAAATGCAAATCAAAACTACAGTAAGGTATCATCTCACCCCAGTTAAAATGGCTTTTATCAGGACAGGCAATAATGAATGCTGGTGAGGATGTGGAGAAAGTGGAACCCTTGTACACACTTGGTGGGAATGTAACATATTACAACCACTATGGAAAACTGTATGGAGGTTCCTCAGAAAACTAAAACTAGAACATTTGGGTTATTTCCACTTTTTGGCTATGAATAATGCTGCTGTGAACATCAAGTACAAGTGTTTATTTCTCTTCAGTGTATATGTAGGAATGGCATTACTGGGTCACATGGTAACTTGATGTGTTTAACCTTTTGAGGAAGTGACAAACAATTTTCCAGAAAGCATCTGTGCCATTTTACATTCCCAACAGCAGTGTTTATATGTGGGTTCCAATTTCTCTACATCCTGGACAGTACTTGGGTTTTTTTTTTTTTCTTTTTTTAAATTATACCCTCCTAGTATTTGTGAAATGTTATCTTATGGTTTTGTGTTGTTTTTTTTTTTTTTTTTT